AAACAACTGCCAACTGCTTAGTGATGGTTGTCCCTAGAACAACAAAGCCTAACACTATCAAAGCAATCCAAAGGCTTGGTTACACATTGTTAGTATTTCAAGGTGCTTGCAACACCTGGAGCACTTCGAAAGGTAACTTGAACCAACCTTCCAACTTCCATCAGGCTGTCTTGCGTATCTTGACAATCGGATGATAATCTATTAAATGAAGTAGAGGTAGGGAAGAAACTTAGTACCACAAAATGTCTTTAGTAATGAGGGAAATATTTTTGATTAAGATTTAAAGGACGATCAAGCGAAGATACATGAGCTATTGTGATTCATCCTCGGCCATGTCCTTGGCTTAATCTAATACTTCTGGCAACTACGTAAACCCTAACCAAATACTTCGGATCTACCGAAATAACTCAATCTGCCAATGGCTGCATGAACTGACGCTACGCTTTGATTTAGTCACTCCTAGTCTCTTACCAGATTACCCTTAAAACAACAAACACCGTCGTTGCAGGCCTGTCCCGCATATGTAGTACAAATATAAAACATTATTATGATTGGGAACCTATCGTTTCTCTGTTGCTCACATTGTAAAGGGATGCTTTTTTCCTAAGGAATTAGTCGTCAGTTGGAAGCATACCTGAAGAACCTAACGGATAGCATCCTGAGGTAAATTACACGGATTTTGAAAATACTTTCTGGGGTCTATTCTAAGATACTAAGGCCTTACCTTCATCGAAATACGCGAGGCAAGATTAGGTATGGGGTTTTCGGGGCCGACGTTCTTCAGCCCTCTACCACCACGACCATTGTTGCTACCTTGACGTGGTGATCGTGCTTGCCTATCGTGATGAAGCAACCGAGCTATACTGGCTGGAACAACTGTTCCTCAAGGTCCTACCATGTCACACAGGTCGGTTGAAGAGCGGTAAGACTAAGAGCAACAATCCCAAGGTCCGAAGGCGAAGTCGTACTGCTGACTGTACAGAGATGTGACAGACGTAAGGTCTTTCCTTCAGACAACCAGCATGACAGCGATGCTGCTTTCCGATGGTCAGCTCTCGTGGACAAGCAGGAGTAGGGATAGCACTAAGCATGAGGACGGAACAAGCAATGCTAGAGTGGATCCCCGTTAACAGTCGTTTATGTGCTGTTCGGCTAAACGGCTCCGTAAGAACTCGGAAGGATAGGGACACACGTCGTTGCCTTTTTGTCGTTTCTGCCTACGCTCCCACCGACTGCAGCTCAGATGAAGTGAAAGATGAATTTTACAGAAAGATATCTGAACTTCAGAGAGCTAAACGTTCAGACATAGTACTCGTAACAGGTGACTTTAATGCCCAGATAGGTAGTTTAAACCAAACAGAAAGGCATTTAGGTGGGCATTTTAGTATTCCGGCACAACGAACAGATAATGATGGTCGTCTGCTGCAACTGTGCTCAAACAATCGTTTATTTTTAGCAAACACAAATTTTAAGCATAAGGAGAGACATCGTCTAACATGGCGACCCCCTACACCAAACCAACGATGGACTCAAATAGACCATATTGCCATCAGTCATCGTTGGAGAGGGTCGGTAGAAGATTGTCGCTCATTCTAAAGTACATGCTTGGACTCCGACCACGCCCTAATACGGGCACGCATCTGCTTGCGCCTCACTGGATGCAAAAAAGACACAGTAAAAAGACCCATTAGAACTGAATTTAGTAGCGAGAAAACCAAAAGTAGGTTCCAGGAACAACTGAGGTCACAATTACGTAGTTCTGAAAACGAGGTTGACGCAGATGTTGCTTGGCAAGCTATACAAACAGATGTGGAAACAGCAGTGACAACTATCAGTGATTTAAACCACAGGGTTACAAAGAACCAATGGATTTCCTCAAGGTCTATTGCACTGATGGATTCTCGTAAACATCCCATCAGGCCCTGAACACGATGAAGAGCGACAACAAATCAGATCGAAGTTAAGCAAAAGTCTAAGGAACCGCCGTGAGCAGTGGTGGGCAACGAAAGCTAAAGAGATGGAAAAGGCGGCGGCTATAGGGAACACAAGACAGCTCTACAGACTAATAAAATAAACGAATTAATAAGTCAAGTGTAAGTCAGACTATTTCAGAAAAAGACGACACCCTCATCTACTCTTAGTCCAGACGTTTACAACGATGGGCGGAACATTTCAGAGAACAATTCAGCTGGCCTTCAGCTACTCTACAACTCTACCCTCCATTCCCAGACAGTGTGAATGGAACATTGAAGTGGGTCCCCCAACTCTAGCAGAAGTTCAAAAGGCTATAGCTAATCTGAAACGATGAAGGGCAGCTGGTCCAGATGGATTGGCTCCAGAGGTCTTCAAGGATGGTGGTCTAATTTTAGCGATTAGGTTGACTAATATTTTAGCTAAGATCTGGGAGTTAGACGTTATTCCATCTGACTGGTCACAATCACTTATCGTCCCAATATATAAGAGAGGGTTAAAATTATCCTGTGACAACCATAGAGGAATTAGTTTAACTAATATAGTATCTAAAATACTAGCCTCGATAATTATCAGACGCCTAACTAAGACTCGTGAACTGCAAACACGAGAGAATCAAGCTGGCTTCAGATCTGGTCGTGGCTGCATCGACCACATATTCACCATTCGTCAGATTCTAGAACATAGGCATACTTATCGGCGTCCGACAATGGTGGTTTTTCTCGACTTAAAAGCAGCATTTGACTCGGTAGACCGCGAGATTCTGTGGCAGTGTCTGTCATTGAAAGGCGTACCTCAGAAGTACATAAACCTTGTGAAGACTCTTTACTCGAACACTACTAGTCGAGTGAGAGTTTATGGCGAACTGTCATCTGCTTTTTCAACCTCAAGTGGTGTCCGTCAAGGCTGTCCACTTTCTCCATTTTTGTTTAACTTCATCATAGACCTATTGATGGAAATAACATTTCGTCTACTGAATTCTCGGGTATTGATCTCCATCCAGGAGGTCCACTTATCGACTTAGAATACGCAGATGACATAGTCCTGTTTGGTGAGGACGCTGATAAAATGCAGTCTTTTGGTAGCACCAAGCAACAATGCCAGAATGTTTGGAATGCGATTCTCTCCCTCTAAATGCAAGTTGTTGCTTCAGGACTGGTCTGCGTCAACATCGGAACTAAGGATAGGGAGTGAAGTAGTCGAACGCGTTGACAACTTTACTTATCTTGGAAGTCTGATCAGCCCTAATGGGTTGGTGTCTGACGAAATCTCAGCACGGATTCGAAAAGCTCGTTTGGTTTTTGCCAACTTACGTCACTTATGGCGAAGGCGGCAGTCCGTTCTGTTTTAATTTACGGCAGCGAAACATGGCCATTAAGAGTAGAAGGCACTTGTAAGCTACTAGTATTTGACCACAGATGCCTCAGAAATATTGCTGGCGTCTGCTGGGATCACCGGGTAAGTAATAGGGAGGTTAAACACAGGGTATTAGGGAATGATGGTAAATCAGTTGATGAGGTTGTGAATCTTCATCGACTGAGATGGTTGGGCCACGTGTTGTGTATGCCTGAACACCGATTGCCACGACGTGCAATGCTAACCGGTATTGGAGATGGTTGGAAGTTAGGGGCGGCCAAACAAAAACGTGGCATCAGTGCTTGAAGACACTAACTTCTAGTCTGAACCATGTTGATGGATGCAGACTACTTGGTTGGGGTCCGCGTGACTATCGTAACCAATGGTTAGAGGCTCAGAATCGATTACAATGGCGTCGGCGTATACACTCTCTGTCTTCCCTTAAACTAAGAGACTAAAATCGCTTCATATCTTTCTTTCCACGAACTAATTCTTTCTTCCTGTATTATACCCTTATTGCAATCTTTCTTTTATATATCACCACGACTGGATTAACTACTTTTATGAATCCGGTGTTCACCTTGTTGTGTTAATGAGGTATGGCAACTTGGACTGATGCATATAAGTGCCTGGTCCTACTTTGTAGCTGACTGACTGACTGAACTCTCTACCACCGTTATACGGCAGCATTGATATGAATTCTGGTCTTATAAAAGAGACATTCTACTTTGATCATACCATAAGTCAGCGGCAAGATATCGCCTTCGGACCTTACACTACTGTTTCCGATCTTACCGTTCACTACGCAATCAACGTTTTCACTAAAAAATTTTGGTTGCATTACTGAGATAAGCAACCCGTTCGGATCGGGATACCCAGGACTTTACGTGGCGAGAGATGGCGTGTTTTCAATTTGATATGAGAAAGACTGACATCTGATCCTTGCTGTTAATTGCACGTTTGGCGTAATTTGTGCGACTTGAAACGTTATCAAGTTTGTGCTTGAATCATACCCGGTTAGACCTCAGTTGACAAACAAAACTTTACTAGCTCTAGTCATTTAAAAAAAACAACGGCATTACAAATTTAGCTGATTCGAGCTTGTTAAGAACATCCTTACTAATCAAACACTAACCAAAGCACTCCGGATTCACACGCCGAATTAGTCCATCCATATTGCGACAAAGCACTTTTTAGAGTATTTTGGTGGAGTTTTGTTCTCTGAGCACAAACTTGTGCTGATGACGTCGTTCAGAAAAACGATGAAAGCTCCACGGCCAAACCATTCAGCTCAGAAAACAAAACTCCACCAAAATCACCCACCTGAGCTACAAATTTTCTCAACCTTTTATAGTAGCTTATTTCAGTTTATGTAAACCACAACCCTATATTTTAATTGACACCCGACTACTCAGACAAATAACCCTTCATCCTAATTTTTTCAGATTATTATGCCGAAACTGATATACTTCAAATCTATTTCCATTTACCATAAACTGTTTAGAAGTTAAGTACTTCTCTAGTTGACTGGTAAATCGCCCTATCCAGGGTGAGTGCTAAAAGAGCAATAAGTGAGAAATTGTAGCACAAACAGTACTACACGTGACCATACTAAAACGACTTAGAGTTGGAACTACCACGGTTATTTTTTTATGCAAACGCATCTAACTTACCAAGCAGCTTGAACAAGGTTTTTGTTAGTTTCATGGTCTAAAGCCTGCAAGTAACATATAACAAGCTACAAAATATGGATTATGTCAAGTTAGATTACCTTGTGAGGATGTTTGGCATGGACACAAAATCCTAATTCTTTTAAAACACGTCGTTCAGCCTTGATAACTTGATTTTTAAGATTACTGTAACTTTGATCGAGAATCACGGGTGTCGGTGTTCTGAAATAGAAGCCAATAATGCATACAGCAATACTTTTTATCCCGAACTTGTCTTATATGATGAAAAACATTGATTACGTCTCTAATACGTCTTGGAGACTCTTCAAGCTTTGCAGCCAGGAATATACATGCCATAGCGTAATGCTGGAAGCAGGTTACTTGACAAAACACCTACCTCGTAGAAGTGACGGACAAATGACTTGGAGTAGAAGAAGCGCTGGTACAATACCTGCGCAGTTGCCATAGCGACTTGCGGCAGCCGTAACAAAACCCCAGAATCTTGGATTAACTCGCACCCAAGAATCCTTAAGTCAATCTCCGTTTCATATTCCATTTTGTCCAGCTGCGACGGGGTAGGAAATAAACGCTCCTCGGGTATAATAATGTTGTGAATGGTTAAATTCACACCACAGTATTCCCAAGTTGAATCAGGTTGCTTTACGCATCGAGAACTCGTCTCAGCGGCCATTGTACTAGCAACTTTAAATGTGACACACAAGACGTCAATCAGTCATTAAAAGCAAAGTAATGAATAGATGGCTGTGAAAATCCAACTCTCAACATATTCATACGTTTAATATGTATCATGTTTCTGTTACTCGTATTTTAGTGCAGACCTCAGGTTATCTCTGGTACGCAGAACGTTTTTATAAACTTGGTCCTTTGGAAAAAGTTTGATAAAGGCAGAAGACTGAGGGCTTAAGTCTATACTCAAATCTGTGCATTTAAGACAGAAAACTTACGACCTGCTCTAGTCCTTTTTAAGTAAGCTACGAATTGTGTTCGATTTTATGCGCGCGCTTGTCAAAAAGACAGTGGTATTTTTCCTCACTAAGTAAATTCTATTGTTTTGGTCGTTTATTACGTACCGAGACTACTGTTTTCACTTTAATTGAGTTTATTTCAGTTAAAGTATTCGATTAGAGTGTTGCTTCTGTTTCTAAATTAGTTTGTCGTCGGTGCTTATGAGTACCTTGTTTTCCATTGTATCTTTAGTACTTTTGGTTCTAACAATCTACAGTTTTCCCCCTTATTTTGGTCATAGATCATTTTTGTTTCTGAGTATTATAACATCTAATTCTTTTTTTTTAAAAAGGCTCGTTCTGTTTCTAGTAGGAAACACAACCTGACTTTCCAAGTCGTAGATAACCTTCCGGAATCTCACAGTATGTTTGACGCTAGTGTGCTTGCTACTCCAACGAAAGTTGACGAACGGGTACAGGTCGCAAGCAAGTAACGACATAACGATATAAACGAGAATCCTACCCTCCAAAAGTGGCCGAGAAATTGAAGACTGATCATAGTGACAGGTCAGTTATTTTTTATAGAGCCAAGAAGGGTAAAAGCTCTGAACCAAAAACTCGTTTTGAGCATGACATTGTGCTACTTAATCAACTCATGACTCAAAATATCCTCGGAGTCACCTTGCTAAAGGTGTACAGACTAGGCAGTCTAGCGAACTTGAAGCCTAATCAGTCCAGACTGCTTAAAGTAGTATTCAAGTCTCCAAATGAATGGGACTTAATTTGACAGAATGGACGTAAATTAAGGGGTTCAGAAGTTTTTGTCCCTAGGGACGTGAGGCTGGCTAACTGTGTAAAAAGACGGGAAGCGGAAAAAGGATAACAAATTAGGTTAGACGCTGGCGAAAAGGACCTAAAAATTGTAAATTTTCGAGTTGTGAGGCTTCGGCAGGGAATGATGCGAAGCCACTCTGGGTACAGCACAAAGACATTTAAATAGGCTTTGGATCTGTTACACTAATTCTCAAAGCTTACTCCATAAGCGACCGGAACCAGTTGTACATATTGACTCCACAAAGCCAGATATAATCGCAGTCATAGAAACTTGGCTGACGCAGCCTATAGATAGCATAGAACTTGATTTCGAGGGTTTTACGTTAGTAAAAGCCGACAGAATCCAGAAGCGTAAAGGAGGGGGAGTAGCTCTATTCATTAGGAATGCTATTCCATTTGTCATTATCGACAGTGTATCCCATGAGAGTGGGACGTGTGAATTAGTTAGTTACCGCTTGAAATGCAAGGGTCAAGAGCTGTTGATTGGTTTGGTCTATCGCTGTTCAAGCTGTGAGGTACATGAAATCTTGCTAAGCAGTCTCAATACTTGGTCACAAAGTGGTCGATGTCTAATTCTAGGGGACTTTGATGCACCCATGGTACACTGGGAAAACCTGCGAACTGAATTGTCAGAAAATTCCTCCGAGCAGGAACTAGTTGATGTGGTTACCAAATGTGCCCTAGTGCAACATGTGAAAGAAGCGACTAGGTACGACCCGGACACTGAGTCATCCTTACTAGATCTTATATTGACTCACTATGGGGATTATGTTACGATCCTCCATTACATGCTACCCCTAGGTTAAAGTGATCATGCAGTTTTAATTTTCGACTTGCATATAACTGTCAATCACGAGCACACGTTAGCTCAGTACAGACCTAACGTCTGGGAAGCAAATATACAAGATATCATAAACTCAGCATCGTCAGTAGATTGAACAATAGAGCCAGAGTCCTCAATTTACATTTACCACACATCGCTTCGTCTACACCAAGGAGGCCGAGAAACTCTCCATCATGGTTCAGAGGGGAGGTCCGCATCCTTCTCTGTAAGAGAAGAATACGGGGTCGATTCAGGTTACTGGGGACTGACGGGATAAAATCTTAATATTGGGAAACTCGGAATACCTTTACCTTGACGCTCTGTAAATCTAGAAGGTTGTAAGAAGAGAAAATTGTCAAGGATTCCATAGAATGTCCTAAACGCTCGTATTCATATATAAACCAAAGGACAAAAAGAAGAGGAAATATTCCAGTACTATGGGGAGACAGTACTGCTTTATCATTAGTGGAGGACGACTTGGCAACGCCTAGGCATTCTCAAACTACTTCAGCAATGTATATATCATAGAAATACCCTTCCTGTCAGTCCGTACAAATCCCCCCACACAAACACTTGACAGCGTGACCATTAAAGAACTCGATATCTTTGGTCGGCTAAATAAGCTGGACATAAGCAAATCCACGGGGCCCGACGAACTGCATCCCAGGTTACTAAAGGAATTAGCTAACTTCCTTGCGAATCCTTTAGGTATATACTTTAATCTATCCGTAACGCAGGGTCGTTCACCAAAAGACTGAAAGAACTCCATAGTAAATTCTGTCTTCAAAACAGGTACGAAACATAAACGTGAGAATTACCGACGCGTTAGCGTAACTAGTGTGGTTGTTAAAATCTAAGAAAAGATTATTCCGAAGGAGATGTTTAAGTATCTCGATGAACTACAACTGAATCTCCTCTTAAGCGAGTCAACTGAAGCAATACCTAGCAATAACTGTGATGTCTTTGTTTTGCAACCACAGAAAAACAGGAATTAGGGGTAGAGTAGCCGTACACATACGATCCTGCCTGGAGGTACACCAAGTTCACAACCATGCGTTTAACAATCTCGATGAATCTGCATGGTGCTCAGCAAGATTGTCTACTACTACGGGGTGCCTAGTCGGGGTCATCTGTAGGAAGCCCACTGCTGACACTGAGCATGACAGTCGTATGTTAGGAGGACTATCCCGCACTACGCGTCTCGGATTCATTCATATCCTGATTCTAGGGGACTTCAATCTCCTTAGAGTCAGTTTCGCGGAACATACGTATATCGGAGGTGAAAACTCAATTGAAGCCCGGTTCTTCAACAACATTGCGGATCTGGGATTATACGAAAATGTGAAGTCGGCAACTCCTTGGAGAAACAGTCAGATACCGTCGCGCTTAGGTCGTGTATTTACAAACGAAAAATTTCTAGTTGACAACCTCTTAATCCTGGCTCCCCTGGGGAAAAGCGATCACGCCATTATAGCTCTCAGTCTTGTTAGCAAAACTGAGCTAAGATATCCCACCAACAATTAGTGCTGGAATTTCGAACGATTGAATGTGTCAGCTCTACACGACTATCTACAACAGGTGGTTTGGGATGTTCACACTCAACTTGGTGTGGATGCTCATTGGGACGTTTTAATTTACACGCTCTTATGTGCTACAAAGCAGTCAGTTCCTCAAGCGGTCTCTAATAGCTACAAACAATTTACAACTACCAAGACCACACCCTTCGTTTGCTAAGCCGCAAAAGGCACTCTTGAGCAGAATACAAACGAACTGACAACAAAAGTGCGTACATGCAATGCAAACATATAAGGAACATATGCACGAAGGCTATAAGAGAAGACAGACTTCAGTACCAGATAAAGCTTATGGATAAATTTGTCTACAATCCAAAAACTTATTCCGTTATACACTTTCCGTAGTGAACCTGAGCGCTGACTTAGTGTTCCGGAAACGGCGGCGCCTAAGAAAACACACTTCTCCTGGCCCAGATATGGTTCACTCTGCTATACTGAGAGAAGCAGTTCCAATCCTGTCAACACCGCTTAGAGTGATGTTCTCACACTCGCTAAGCTGAGGCAAACTACCGGAAATTTGTAAGCTGGCTCACACCATACCAATTTTCAAAGGAGGTCGACGCAGAGAAACTTCAAGCTACCGACTGGTGGCTCTTCTCTCTTTACCTTCAAAGTTAGGGGGTCCCTGATATGCGACGGTATACATGACTATTTACTGTCCTTAAATTTCTTCTCACCCCAACATCATGGTCTCAGGAGGGGTTACTCTTATATAACTAACCAACTGACTGTGGTGGACAGATGGACAAGCATCCTTCATCGCAAGGGGAAGGTCGATATCATTTACCTTGATTTCTCAAAAGCTTTTGATAATCTTGACCATATATGTCCTATCAATAAGCTCAAACGATTGGGTATCAAACCACCTCTAATTGATTGGCTCACTTCATATCTGAAAAAACAACATTTTAAGGTCAGGGTTCACTTCACTTTATCTCAGGCCATGGAATGTCCTAGTAGGGTCCCCCAGGGCTCAGTGCTAGGACCTCTACTTTTCTTGATTTAAATAAGTTATCTTCCACAACAGGTACAGTCAAACCTATTACTTTTTGCTGATGACGTGAAGCTTTGGAGAGAGATACGCAACCAAGAGGATATACAGACACTTCAGGAGGATCTGACTCGACTTCAAAGTTGTGCAGACGATAACGGGCTTACCTTTGACATTCAAAGTGTAAAGTAGTTCATCTGTGACATGTCGCAGAATACAGTTACAACTTAAAGAACTCCTCTCTAGTGGTATACCGTGTCCAAAAATATTTGTTAGTGTTGGTGTCGTAATATTTGAAGTCTTATGCTAACTGTGACAAAAATGCCTTCCGAGCAAACCTTGCACTGGTAACATTGAAGCCCATTTTCGATCAGTTTGACGCAAGAACATTCCAAAAAATTTTCGACAGTTTTATTCGTCCCCATTTAGAGTACGAAAACATAGTATTTCCTCCCTCACTCCAAAAGGATAGGGACACTCTGGATCGTATCCAACGGTGAGTCACTTAACCTTTACCCACTAGAGC